TGATGAAGTTATCAGAATAATAAATACAAAATAAAATAATACAAATGAGAGCTAATAAATACTGACTAGACATTTGTAACTACAAATATCTTTTACAACTTTTACTTCTACATTGGTAAGAAAGTAAGTCAGCTGCCTGGTAGGGAATAAGCATCATTTACCCAGGTTTGCAATGTATATCTTTGTCCAAATCTCTATTTCTTCTAGTTATTTTTTCAGCTAACAGTCCTCCTTTCAGTGATTTAAAAACTGACTAGTGACATCTAAGTTTGCAGCTGTTTATAAGAACTTGCGTCTTCATTTTCTGTATAAATCCTCTTATTCTATTTTCTCAAGATTCCATGAGAATAAAACATACTGTTACTTTTCCAAACTGGATAAAAATGTGTTGAGTTCAAAAGGTTTAGAAGGGATTTATTGGGGAGATGATCACATAGTGTTTTATGACATGCTATAAATTCTGTGGTCTCAGCATATTAGGGCAAAGTGCTTAGTCAGTATTATTAAAAGCTTGATATTGTCACTTTGCCCACTATTATAGAATCTGGTAGATAGAATGGTATTTCCCCAGAGAGCAATCCATCCTGAGGACTGCGTCATTGCTGATTTATTTCCATTCACAGTGGTGGCTGCACCCAGGGTCTGCTTATTTTCACTTATCACAGTGGGAGGGAGGCATCTTTTCTGCTTCCTGTAACTGGAAAATATTCTGTCACTCTGCATATCCCATTCGTGAATGCTGAGCTCAGATATCACATTCTTCATGAAGTTATCACTTTACCTCTTTTCTTCCAGTCTTTCTCTCTTCTGTATTCCACTATATTTGTTTGTAGAGGAATTTATTTCGTACAAACTGATTGTAGGCATCAAATGCCAGGAATGTTGTTTTCTAATTAGTCCTCCATGGTGCTTAGGAAAATACTATACACATATAGACAGGCACTTAGTGGCTCAATGAATTAATCTTATCCAAGAAGTTAAACGGAGACAATATAAAAGAAAAAGCAGTAAACTAATAGAGTACAGATTTGTTTTTCTTTCCAAACTATATGTCAAAAATGTTGGTGTTGATATTTTTAAATTGATTCGATTAAGATATTAAAATTGGTTAGAAATATGTGATATAGGTCGCAGAGAATTTTGGTTGAATATTGTAGAAGCAGAAATTAGTATTTTCTGAAATAACAAATCCAGGATGTATTTTAATTCAGAAAATAGCAAATAATATGTATTTATCAAATTATGTTCAAATGTACTCTAATCAAATGAAGTAAACCATTAGGTTAAAATATGTTCAGATATCTGAAAATGCAACATCAGCCAATATTTTACATGCCAAATCTTGTCTATAGTCATTTTGTTAAATGCCTAAGAACTGTTAAATCTTGTTAGATTGCAACACTTTTTCTAGAAGGCTGAATCTCTAGCGGTAAATCTGCCCCTCCGTGATTGGAGCTTCTGGAGCCCGACCCTCCTCTGTAGACTCAGGTCTCACTGAATTCTGGAAACTGTTTTGTCCACTTGCCCCTTCAGTTCTCAGTGTAAAAGCAGCTTCTTGCTTTTGCTAACCATGCCCTGTGTATTCTCTTAATCCTCCTCACACCTCTGTAATTATTCCTTAAATTAGTGTCTTTTCAATACTTGCTGTATGTTGCCTTCTGCGACCCTAAATCAGAAGCAATTTCCCACTATATTCATAGATTACACTTTCTGTTTAAAAACTTCCTATCCTGTGGAGGAGGGGTGTATTTTCACATGCCATGTTTTCATTCTAACTTCTCTTTCCCTGAAAATATCGACCTGGAAGCTACATTTTATCCAACTTCACCTCCTATGCAAAGAGACCTAAGGGTCAGAATTTGAATCAGCACAGCCTTTAAAATTGGAAGAGTGGCAGATTCATCACAAGCTCCAAATTATACATATGCTACATATATTAAAACAAAATGAAATAAAAGTTGTAATTACATGGGAAAAACTCTAATAAATAGGTAAAAGCTCATGGAAGCCCCAGAAATATGACAAATAAACCATAGCAGTTTCCAAATCTTTACAGAGATTGCAGGTCTGTGTGTAAACACCTTTGTCTCTCTTTCAGTTATTTATTGCTGTCAATGCTTACCTATGAAATATAAAGCTTTCAGTAAAATAAGCATTTATTAAGCATTTACATTTTTAGATAACTTAAATATGGTGTCTCCTTTCCAAAAGTTCACTTCTAATGAAAGTCGGATCTTCAACTTCTGCCTCCCACTAACCTTTCCATAGTGACTTTTCTTTCAAAAGTCATTGTTGACCTACTTAGTTGCCACATGGAACCATGGATTTTTCCTTGTCCTCTTAGATTTCTTGTTAGCCCTGCTCCTCTTTCACGAACTATCTCCTTCCCTATTTCCCATAGATTTGTTCATCTTGCTTCTGTCCTTCTGTTATCCTCATACACATATCACTTTCTCTTGCTCCTTTCTTCTCTTCCACTGCATAGTTCTGGCTACTTTCAAAGTCACATTTTCAACTACTATTTCAGTTTGAGCTATAATCTCATGAGAATGACTCAAATAAATATTACCATTACTAAATCTTATCTTGAACTCTGCTTGGCATTTCTGTCTGTCTGCTGGGTATCTACTTTTGATGCAATAAAATCACTTCAGTCTACATTCTTAAGGTAAAATGATCTCATTGCAGCATATCACCACTGAAATACAAACTTCCACCCCTTTCTGACTGCCTAAGTTTAACACAGTTTAATGCAGAGGTCGAAAAATTATAGTCTATGAGCCAAATCCAGCCTGCCACCTGTTTTTCAACAGCATGTAAGAAAAGAATATTTGCTTTACTTCAAATAGTAGAAAAAAATTGAAGAGAACATAATATTTCATGAAGTGAAAATCTTATGAAATTAAAATTGTGCCCGTAAATAATGTTTTGTTGGAATACAGCCATGCTTATTTATTTACATGTTGTCTACGGCTTCTTTTGCCCCATAATGAGAGTTGAGTAGTTGCAACAGAGCCAATATGGGCTGCAAAGCTTAAAATATTCATATCTGGCCCTTTAGAGAAAATGTCAGCTGATCCCTGATTTAGTGGATGAAGCCTGAGTTTAAGAGTAGATTGAGGGAGCTAGATAAAAATCTTAGATACTCTCCTCACTAAGTGAAATTTCAGAGAGTTACTTAGCACGAATGAGACTCGGTTTTCTTATTTGTAGAATAGAAATGCCAACAGTAAAGTCCTTCTGTAAGGCATCTTTCTTTTTTTTAACCGAGGTCACACTGGCTTATAACATTATATAAATTTCAGGTCTACAGCACTATATTTCAAGTTCAATATAGACTGCATCATGTTCACCACCAAAATTCTAGTTTCTGTCACTGTACACATGTGCCCTTTTACCCTCCCCCACCCTCTTCTCCTGGGGTAACCACCAATCATATCAACCCTAAGACTATTCTATAGACTTTTAATTATTTTCTGCTTCTTTTTTCTAATCGGTCTGGTGAAGCAATGGCAGACAAAATATATTTTATTATGGTATCATCTCAGAAATATTTCATAACACCTCTGCTGTTTCAGGTTCAAGTGAAAGAAAGCTTGACTTAATTTATCCAAACCAACATTATATTATATAATTGTTTATAACTTTAGAGTTTGCTTTTTTCATTTTATACACACATACACATATAGTATATATAGAAACATAGATAGTATATACTGTATTATCTATATAAAGCATATTACACATATGGTGTTATAAAAATGGCTCTTTTAAAGTGATGTTAGAGAAACTGCCTTAACATTTTATACTACTGACAAAAATAGAATTCAGTTTATTTAAAGATTGCAGTGTGAAAATTACAACTATTTGATAATAGAAAACTGTAGGAGAATCTGTGATCTCCATTCTCATAATTCATGAAACAATTTTATTTTAACTTTTCCATTGCACCTACATAAAACATCAGGTCTTGGTCAACTTAGGAGCCACTGTTTGTTCCAACAACAGTTTTTAGGGCACAATGATTTTGTTTCCCTTGAAATTGTTTTAGATACAACACTTTTACATTTTATACCAAGCCATAAGTATCTATTTATCTAAGATGAAGAAAATAATTTAACTCATCCTCTATTTTTAAAATTCGCATTCCCGTAAACCTCAAAGTATCTTTTATTTTCTTTTGTTATTTTTTCTAGGCTCTTCATCCTCCTGATTCTCTGTGTCAACATATGATACACACAGGTATACTGATTTTTCTCTATATATGTTTATCTCTCTGTTTATATACTTTTTATACATTTTAGATGCTTACATTGGATCTCAGGTCTCGCAACAGCGATGTCTATTTAACAAGAACTTTATTTTACTCTTACCTGTCTGCCCCAACATACCCCATCTCGTGCACCAGTCGGAAAACAGAGATCTCAGTATTCTGAGATTCGTAAGGCCATACGTGTACACAACGCAGCGGGTTACCGGCAACTACTCCACGGCGCCGGGAGCAGCAGGCAGAGCCGACCACGTGGCAGTGACGCCCGCCTGTGGCTGCCCGCGAGACGGGAGCGCCAGAAATGCGCGCATGCGCACACGGGCAGCTCCGCAAGCTTCAGGCCCACGCCGCGCAGGCGCGCTCCTGTTCGCTCGGCTGCGTGGGAGCGGAATCCGGGAGCCCAGCCTGGACTTGAGGCAGGTGGGGAAGATGCTGGGCACCAGCACTGCCTGCAGGGACAGAAGTAAAACTCTTTGAAGGATTGTGCGGCAGTGGCTTGGCCCCGCGAGGTCACACACTCACTGATTTGTGAGCAAAACGGAGACCAGTGTCTACTTTACGGTAACGACCCTCCCAGCAGGCCGCACCTTGACCTCCTGGACGTGGTGTCCCACAGTTTCGTGCACAAGGCATTGGTGCAGCGCCGTGCCACTCTGGCAGCCAAGGAGCAGAAGCCACGGCTCAAGGCCCAGAGGTAGGACCAGCGGGACCAAACTGCAGGGTGCAAGGGGCAGCAGCGAGAGGCCCAGAAGAGGAAGAGCCTGGTGGACATGAAGAGGGCACGAGCAGAGGCGAGGCCAACAGGGACAGTGATGCTGAGGACCCTCGACTAACTGCGAACCGGTGAGTGGTGGAGGGGGGTGATGGGCAGCGAGGAGGGGGTGGGGGCAGAGGAGGATTTCCACCAGGTGGTGGGCGAGGAACCTGATGAGGACAAGTTCCTCAAGGTGGCCAAGTGGAGACAGTCTCCCCGGCCCCCAGACTAGAAGCCTCTGGGAAGGGTGCAGAGACCAGACCCGGGCAGGGACAGAGGTGGTGACCGGAGGCCTCCAGAGACCGCTATTAAGAGCATTTTTACACTTTCGTGAGTTTTATTTTTATTGGTGTCTTTCTATCTCAGTTTGGTGACGACGCACTTGCTAGTGGGAGGTAAAATGACAGATATATATAGGAAGAGTTAATTTATTTAACTTCTGCATAAACTCTAATCCTGTCTCCAAAAAAGTTTGATTAAATTAAAAAGATTTAAGTAAAATCCTATTATAAATTCAGACATAGTTCCCTTGGCGATTGTCTCTTATCCTCCTCCTTAAAACAAGGTTCTTAAGGATTGATGGAGGACAGTGGGAAGAGACAGGAGAGGATGGCAAAGCCAGGTGGAAACACAAAAGTAACCCAATCTAGGGGCTCAGGGAATTTATCATGAGTCCTAAGGGCTCTCTATTCTCCTAGTGAATTCTCCTGGGATGGGACCAACAAAAAAAGATAACTTTCCAGGAGATTCTATGTGAGCATGGAACCTAGAATTATCACTAAGGGTATTTAAGTTATGAACTCTCACTAAATGGCCCCAGAAGTCAACCGGATGTCAGGAGGATTTAAATCCTGTAGCCAAAAGTAGGATCTTTACCAACCAGAGGCTTGTTTCCTACTCCTGTAGAATTTTATGAGATTGATTTTTTGGATCATACTTAGGGGTTTTTTGGAAGGGTTTTACTGTAGTTGCAAAGTAAATATGAAATATAATAGAAAATTCAGGTTGCAAACAGCTGAACTGTATAATGAGGCAGTTTATAAGGGAGGAGATGAATAACTCTGGGAAGACTGAGTCTGGAAAGCATTTCCAGGAAGCCGTGATTAATTGTTTGTAGGGATAAACTCCTGTTCTCTTAAGAAAGTAGTATTGTGTGTAGAGCTCTTAAAATATCCACTGCTCCCTAAGGGAGATCAATTATACTAAGTTTAATACTGAAACAGCAGTAGAAAGATAATAGTAAATCAATAGTGAATTAATATAGAAAAATATTGAATTTATTTTCCATTTAATTTTCATAGAAGTGCTTGTATGATCTGTGAACTCCAACTGGAATGGAAAGGGTATTTTCTTTTTGTTTTATTTGCTTTGATTTTTAAATGATCATTAAGAGATGTGAGGATTTTAATAATATCACTTGATTGTGATTAGGAAATTGATTGCAATGCTATGTGTATTAGCTAATGTTATGTCAAATCACCTAAGGTCTTGTTCAGTTATAATGATATTTAAATACATGGAGGAGTTACTGTTTATCATTCACTCATTTATTAGACAACATTTGTCTAGAGCCTGCTGTATGCCTGGCACTGTTAGAGATCCTGAGAAAACAGCACTACAGTAAAGACACAAATGGCCTTTCTTTACGTTGCATATATTCTAGAAGGGACAAAAATTATAAGTAGGCCGGAAAATTAATATATATTATTCAGTAGTAAGAATAAAGTAAGTTAAAGGGACATAGAGTTTGCTGAGTTAGAGGACTCAGGAAGTGTCCTTGAGAGGGTGTCATTTGTCCTGAGTAAAGTAAGGGAATAAGTTGTTTGACTATCTGGGGAAAGAATATTTCAGAAAAGTAAACAGGAGGGGCGAATACTTTAAGGTGCAATGTATTTTCTGAGTTTGAGGAATTGTGTGGTCAGGTTGATTTGGTGATCAAGGAGGATATTGATAGGAATGAGGCCAGAGAGATGGTGGGGAGCCAGATCATGTAAGGACTTGTGGGAGACTTTGAAGGATTATAGGGCAAGAGAGTGACATAATCTGATTTACCATTTAGAAAGCTCTGCTCTGTGAACAGTGGTTCATAGGAGGAAAATGGCAGAAGCAGAGACCAGTTTAATAGCTATTTTAGTTGTATGGGAGAAAACGTTGTATAGGGAGATTACAGAGGAAGGGGTGAAAAGTGGTATATTTCAGAAATATTTTGAAATGTGAAGAACTATGATAAGTTCTTTATATATGTAACATCTCATTTAATCCTCAAAACAACTGTCTGAGGAAGACATACTATTATCGCCCTCATTCCTGGAGGAGGAATCTATGGATGAAAGATGTCAGGTAACTTTGTCAGTGTCCCTGCACTAGTATATGGTAGAATTAAAAATGATTGAACCTGGACTTGGCTGTCTCCTTTACTTGAGTTTTTGCTCACAACATAACATTGCCTTTTATTTAACCTCATCTACCAAGTAGACCATGACAGTAGAACAATAGGAAACTGGCCTCAAATGTCAGGCATAGTGGTAACAAAATGGAACTTGTGTTTTCTGTTGAATTGGTTACTTTGTTGCTCACTGGCAAAGGTGGATTTCATGTACCACCTTTGAATAATAGCTTTAGTTCCAAAACTGGAGAAGGAAAAATTCTAGGAATTTTGGACAGTAAGCCTGTAGATAGAGGAGGAAAAAGCATGTCAAATATCCTTCCTTCTCCCAACATTTCACCGTGAGAACAAGGACAAATTAGGTTTTATTTATTCATTCCTTTTAGGCTGAAGAGTTTAATTTATTTCCTTAATGAATTATTTCAATTAATGATCAATTTGTAAGTGTAAATGCACCAAATTTAACAATGGTTTCTGCCAACTAACTTAAAAAAATAAATTTACAATTCACACATTTAGAGTTTACAACCCTCACCATAATGGAGATTTAGAACATTCCATCATCCCCCAAGGTTGATCCCTGCTCCAAAACAACCCTGTGAAACCACTGATTTTCTTTCCCTATAAATCTGCCATTTTTAGAAAATTCATATAAATAAAATCATATGTTGTAGTGTTTACGTTTGGCTTCCATCCCTTAGCCTCCTGGTTTTGAGGTCATCCACATTGTGGCATGTATTAGTAGTTCATTCCTTTTTATGGCTGAATAATATTTCATTGTATGGCTGTACTACATTTTGTTTATCCATTTGTCAATTGATAAACGTTTGAGTTGTTTCCAGTTTGGGGCTTTTAGGAATAATGATGCTATGAACGTTCACACACATGTTTTTATGTGGACCTATCTTTTTGTTTTTCTGGAGTAGATTCCTAGAAGTGAAATTGATGGGTTATACAGTAAGTAAATGTATATATACATTTTAAGAAACATTTTCCTAAGTGGCTGTACCATTTTTATCTTCTCATTAGCAATGCATAATGGTTCCAGTTTTTCAACATTCTCTCTGACACTTAATATTGTCTGAATTTTTGATTATATCCATTCTAATGGGTGTGCAGTTCTGTCTCTTTGTGACTTTAGCATTTTCCTAGTGATTAATAATGTGAGCATATTTTCAAGTGCTTATTAGCCATTCATATATCTTCTTTGGTCAAATGTCTAATCGAAACTTTTTGCTGATTTTTAAAATGGTTTGTTTGTCTTCTCCTTATTGAGCTGTAAGAGTTTATTTTTGTATTCTGCATATAAGTCCTTAGATATTATGATATATGATTTTCAAATATTTTCTCCCAGTCTGTGGCTTGACTTTTCATTCTAATGATATATTTTGAAGCGCACAACATTTTAAAATTTTGATGAAGTCCATTTTATCAGTTCTTTTATGGGTCGTGTTTGAAGTCTAAGAATTTTTTGCCAAACTCAAGGTCACAATGATTTTTCTCTTCTTATTTCCTAGAGTTTAGTTCTTACCTTTAGGTCCGTGAGAATACTTGACTCATTTACATGGCTGTCTTTCCATTTATTTAGATCTTCTTAAATTTCTTTTTCAGTGTTTTATAGTTTTAAGTGTATAAGTTATGCACTTCTTTGAACATTAAATATATTTGTAGGTATTTTATTTTTTGATGCTATTGTAAATGGAATTGTTTTCTTAATTTCATTTTTGTATTGTTCATTGCTAGTGTATAGAAATACAATTGATTTTAATCTATTATCTTGTATCTTGCAATCTTGATGAAAGCATTAATTAGTTCTAACAGTATTTTAGTGGATTCTGCAGGATTTTCTATATAGAAGATTATGTCATCTGCAAATAAGAGAATTTTGCTTCTTTTCCTTCTCAGATAGCCATGGCAAGAACCTCCAGTACAAGGTTGAATAGATGTGGCAAGAATACACATGCAATCTGGTGTCACTTTTTTGTCTCCCTTAATATTTCTTGTAAGGCAGTTCTACTAGCAACAGATTTTCTCAGTTTTTATTTTACCTTTATTTTTGTAGAATTGTCTTTCCGTGTATAGAATTCTTTTCATTCCTTGAATATTTGCATTTTTTCTCCACTTTAAATATGCCATCCCTCTGCCTTCTGACCTCCACTTTTCTGATGAGAAACAGTAAGATTAATGTTCCCCTTTATGTAATGAACTGTGTTTTCTTGCTGATTTTAAGATTTTGTCTTTGTCTTTGTTTCTCAACAGTTGGAATAGCGTGTATCTAAATATGGATCTCTTTGTAGTTATCCTACTTGGGTATGTTGAGTTTCTTGGTTGTGTAGATTATAGTTTTCATCAAATTTAGAAATTTTTAGTCATTATTTTATTAAATACTTTATATGCTTCTTTTCTCTCCTGTTACAGTGATCAGTCTCAATTAGGAATATGCTTGTCTCCTAACCACACAATATCAAACGAGTAGACATGATATGTTGACCTCCCCCACTCACCTACCTCTGAGAAATCACAACCTGGGGATGAGTATCACCTGTCACTCCAAATAAAATAATCCTCTTTTGCCTGATGCAGAGAATCTGAGTCCTTGTGGCTTTACGCATCCTGGCAGAACCACAGTGCTGAGCTAGGAGGGAGGAAGAAGATGGGAGCATACCCAGGCCAGAATGCTCTAGATCTCTGCTCTTCTCACTC